TCTGCCCAGCTATGCACTGAGAAGGGGACTTAAGGACTTCTCTGCCCAGGCTAGCCTCAAATCCCAATCCTCAAAACATCACCTAGGATTACAGAAGGGGGCAACTGTGCCCAGCTTTCTTCTCTTTTATGTTGCTGGGGATCAAACACAGAGTCTTGTGTTTTATTTTTCTTTATATATACACATAGTAAAGATACTGTACAGAGGGGTTACAGTCACATGAGTAAGGTAATGAGTACATTCTATTGAGCATTGTTACCCCCTCCTTTTTTTTTTTCCCCTACCATCCCTTCCCTCCTCACCTTCCCAACTCCTTTGTTTTTAAGTCCAAGCCTGGGATTCAAACTTGGTATCTGCCACTTTTGCTCATTGGCTAGCATTCTACCAACAGAGCCTTGCCTCCTATCCAAAACACAAAGTCTTATATATGGCTTGGCTAGGCAAATGATCAAACACTGAAATATACACTCAAACCTAATTTGTATTGTTTCCTTTGTACTCGGTACTATGTAACAATCAAGCTTTAATTTTTCTCCACATGGCAAAAGGCCTTCAGTACAACCTATCTAACAATCCTTTCTTCATTGATAGGTAGGTTATACCTACCTTAGGTATTAGGTTGACACATGGATCTGGCTCTGGAATTCTTACTCCATCCTATTCACCTGTTTGTCCATGTATCTGGTAGGTAAGCTTTGGTATTTGCTTTTTCTTACTTTATTTTTAAACTTCCCAGGAGAAGGAGAAGCCAGGTGCTGATGGCTCATACCTACCTATAATCCTAGTTAATTAGGAGGCTGAGACGTGAAGAATCAGAGTTCAAAGCTTATTCCATTCAAAGCTTACTCCAGAAGAAATCTTTAAGATTTTATCTCAAACTGACAAGCAAAATGCCATTGGAGGTGTGATTCAAGTGGTAGAGCACTAGCTATGAGCAACAAATCTGAGTGAAAGTGCCAGGCCTTGAATCAAGTTTTAGTACTTACACTGAGAAAGAAAGAAAGGAAGGAAGGAAGGAAGGAAGGAAGGAAGGAAGGAAGGAAGGAAGGAAGGAAAGGAAAGGAAGGAGAGAGGGAGAAAGGGAGGGAGGGAGGGAGGGAGGGAGGGAAGCAAGCAAGCTCGATATCTTTAGATTCTACTCAAAATGAGTTAATGAGATACCACTTCATACTCATGAGGGTAGCTATAATAAAAAGAGAAAGTATGAAATACTGGTGAGAAGGTTAGAGCAATTGGAATTGAATCCATTGTGGGTTGAAATGTAAAATGATACAGCTATTATGAAAAAACAAATTTGGCAGTTTCTCAAAAAGTTAAACTGAAGCTAGGAATGGTGGAACATGCCTATAATATCAGCTAGTTTGAAGTATCTGGAATCAGAGAAGATTTACCAAAAAATAAATAAATAAAAAGTAAGAGCTTGTTCAAGACCAGCCCAGACAGTTAGTGAGACCCTATCACAAGAAAAATCCATTGTGTGGGTTGTCACTGCATTTTGAGAGGAGGGGGATATTTTGGGTGATGCTGGGGGCCAAGCCCATCCTGGAGCATGTAAAGCCACTCTTCTACCATTGGCTACACTATATTCCCAGCCTCTTTCTCATTTTCTTTACTCTATTTATTTTTGGTTTTACTACAACTGGAGTTCAGGGCCTAGTGGTTGGCATTCTACCCCTCAAGCCACACATGCAGCCTAGCTTTTTGCTGCTTATTTTTTTTGAGATGGAGTCTAGCTTTTCTGACCAGGATGGCCTCAATCCATGACTCTCCCTATCTCAGCTTCTTGAGTAGCTGGGATTATAGGCATGAGCCACTGGCACATGGCTCACATTCTTAATAGTGTCCTTTGATGTATAAACAAAATACAGTAATTCCAAAGAACAGAATATTATCCAGTCATGAAAAAGGAATAAATAATACTAATAGCTACAATATGGATAAAACTTGAAAACATTATGCTGTATGAAAGAAACATAGAAGAAGCCACATATTTAATGGTTCCACTTATATGAATATTCAAAATAGTCATATACATAGGAAACACACCAATAGTGGCAGGGTTGGTGAAAATAAAAAAAAGTGATTATTAAATGGTTATAAGGATCTCTTCCTTTTGTTCTTTTTTTGCTGATACTGAGGATTAAACTCAGGGCCTTGCACTTAGTAGGCCAGTGTTTTACCAGTTTAATTATGACTACAGCCCTCTTACTTTATTTTTTTCGATAGTCTTGTGTTTACCCTGGGTCATCTGGACTATAATTCTCATATTTATGCTTTTATAATAGTTGGGATGTCAGGTACACATCACTACTACCCTCAACTTTTTGCCCAGACTGGCCTTGAAACATAAACTCAATCTCTACCTTCTGAGTAGCCAGGATTACAGACATGAGATACCATGACCGGCATAGGTTTCCCTTTCAGGTAAAGAAAGTGTGTTAGAATTAGATAGTAGCAATGGTTGCACAACACTGTGATGTACTTTTAAAAAAATTAAAAAAATCACTGGATTTTTTTTTATTTTTATTTTTTGGGTCCAGTCGTGGGGCCTGAACTCTGGGCCTGGGCACTGTCCCTCAGCTCTTCAGCTCAAGGGCAGCACTAGCCACAGTGCCACTTCTGGCTTTTTTCTTTTTGCTTATGTGGTGCTGAGGAATCGAACCCAGGGCCTCATGCATGCAAGGCAAGCACTCTACCACTGAGCCACCTTCCCAGCCCCAATCACTGGATTTAAACTAATGAATTTCGTTATGGGAAATTTGTCTCAATAAAATAAAAACTTGGAAAAAACTGGGAGACAGTGAAGGAGGGGGTAAAAAGGAATCTGCTCATTACCTGACTTATGTAACTGTAACCTCTCTGTATATCACCTTTATAATAATTAAAAAATAAAAATAAATTAAAATTCTTTCTATTCTACACAAAACAATTCCTGAAGACAGAGATTGTTATGTTCTTCAGCTTTTCTTCTGAGGAATGAGATCAGTACTAGTTACTAACTTTAGCTTTAGAGTTTATAAAATACTGCCACAAAATCTTATATAATTTTAACAATCCACGAGGTAAATATTGTCACTTCACTTTAAAGATAAGGAAAAATTTGAGGCTCTGAGATACATGAAGTCATATGATAGAAAGTAGAAGAACTGGTTAATCTTGCTAGATTGATCTCACCCACTCTTTACACTGCCTCCAAGGAAAACAGCAGCTCCAACTTTTCATATGGTTGAAAAGACCAGAGACACTACTGTATACAGGTTTCTTAGACAACTTTTCTTTGTCTAGTACTTGAGTCTCAGATTTGTCTGTCTGGAGGAGCATTAAATGATGATCCTCAGATCTCAGCCCCTGAGTAGCTAGGATTCTAGTCATGTGCCTCTGGTGTCTGATCAAAGTCAATATTTGAATTAAAGCAATAAAAATATTTATTGTGCCTAGCATGGTTTCTCATTACTCTGTAATCCTAGCATGTGGAAGGCTAAGGTAGGAAGAGTACAGGTTCAAGGCCAGTACAGCTCAGCATAAACTACATAGGTGAGACCCTATCTAAAGACCAAAATCATTGTACACAGGAAAAGTTTTAATAAAATCAAGGGATCGTTATGTTACAACAGCAGTGTAAAGCAGAATATTATCTATTTCCTTTTATCACCTAAATATATGTTTTTTTTTAAGTTTCTCAGTGCAAGTTTTCCTATGATATTGGAATATTCTCTCACTGATGAAGCTCAACAAGTTTTCAGGGTGTGGCAGTAATGAGATGACTGTGCATGTTCCTTGAACAACTGGCCTTATTAAGTTGTAGCATTTCCTACTAAGGATTAACTAATGAATAACACATTAGTGGTTTTCTAACAGTACTCTGATGAGAACACTACTGAGCCCAGGACTCAGGGGACCCAAACCTTCTAACAAGCAAATCAGCCTCTTAACTGTTTTCCACATTGTGTTCTTTCTCAAAACACTATTTAAAAAAAGGATTCCATAGCTTCAAATAAAAAGTACTGAATGAAAATCACTGTAATATTAATATATATATATATATATATATTATATACATCCTTACTTTCTCCAAAGTAGTTTGTAAAAAAAATCATTACAAATTAGCTAACGTTAGATAATGAAGTATAAGTGTGGGGGGGAGGGATGGTTCAAGAAGTAGAGCACCTGCCTAGCAAGTGCCAAGGCCCTTAGTTCAATCCCCAGTGTTGCCAAAAAAAATATATTTAAAAGAATGGTTTTGAATAAAGTATAAAAATGTCAAAGAGCACCGGTGACTCACACCTGTAATCCTAGCTACTCATAAGGCTGAGATCTGAGGATCACAGTCTGAAGCTACCTGGGCATAAAAATCCATGAGACTCTTCTTTTTGCCAGTCCTAGGGCTTGAACTGTGGGCCTGGGCACTGTCCCTGAGCCTAGCTCAGGTCTAGCACTCTACTACTTGAGCCACAGCATCACGTCCAGCTTTTCTGAGTAATTTATTGGAGATAGGAGTCACATGGGGACTTTTCTGCCCAGGTTCACTTCAAACCATGATCTTCAGATCTCACCTTCCTGAGAAGCTAGGATGACAGGTGTGAAACATCAGTGCCTGGCTGTCTTTTTTTGTTATTGTTGTTGTTGGTTGTGGGGCTTGAACTAGGGGCCTAGGCCCTGTCCCTGAGCTCTTTTGCTCAAGGCTAGCATTCCTACCACTTTGAGCCACAGAGCCACTTCCCCTCTGTCAATTATTCTCATTATTTTGAGGCTTGTCATGTGCATGCCTGGACCATAATCCTCCTACTTTCATTTCTCACCATAGCGATGATAGGTGCATGCCATCATGCCCAGAAATTGGTTGAAAAGTAGTCTTGAAAACTTCTTTGTTCAGGATGACCTTGAAATGTGTTCCTCCTGATCTCTCCCTCCTCCTAAGTAGTTAGGATTGATTATAGGTGTGAGCTACCATGCTCAGTCTTTTAATGATTGACAAAGAAGTAAGAGACAAAGTGGCTTACATTATAGGAACGTGGATGCCTCTGCTTCCACTGCACCAGGAGCAGTTGAGCCACCACCAAAGTAGCGATGAGGATGAGAACCATTTCAGCGTGCATGGCTTCGTGGCCTCGATGCTTGGCATGCATGCGTGCATGCTCGACCCTGAAAGCCAAAGAAACGGGGTAAGCCAAGTCAGGCATGGTGAGGTGGTAAGAGGGGCAGTGTCTTATGAGGATTTTACCAGTCCACAGCTCAGAATGCAGTCCTGGATTTTGAAGCTAAAGAATATCATAAAAATTATGATCTAGAAGCACATGCTCTAGGTAATAGGCATTTGTGGATAGAAAACTTCCTCTAAGTGCAGTCACTCCTACCAATACTCTGGGCCACAGTCAGCCAAGGGAGAGGAATGCAGAAGGGATGAGAGAACATGAACGTAGCTTGTAGTCAGCTACATTTTATACAAATTCCCCATACACCCAAGTATTAGAGAGGGAGGGAAAGAACAACATAAATGACATTCTCATGGAATTCTCAAGGGTAACAAAGGAGTAACAGCAAAAGAAGCCAGTGGGGTTAGATAAATGACAAAGCAAATATAGTAAAAAGTTAATTACAGAATCTAGGTGGTGGATATAAGGATACTCAGTATACAATTCTTTCACTTTTTGTTTAAATTTTTTCATAATAAAATTTTATTTATTTATTTATTTATTTTTTGGTCCGGTTGTGGGGCCTGAACTCTGGGCCTGAGCGCTGTCCCTCAGCTCTTCAGCTCAAGGCTAGCGCTCTACCACTTGAGCCACAGTGCCACTTCCAGCTTTTTTCTTTTTGCTTATGTGGTGCTGAGGAATCGAACCCAGGGCCTCATGCATGCAAGGCAAGAGCTCTACCACTGAGCCACTTTCCCAGCCCCTCATAATAAAATTTTAAAGGAGTTAATATGGCAGAAAGAGTAGACAACCAAATGCTAACCAGCCAAGCTGAGACCCCGAAGAGCTCATCTCCCATAATACTCTATCCTGGGTAGAAGAAGCTAACAGAAAGAGAAAAGGGTTGGGAGTCAGAAACAGGTCCAGACTCACCCACGTGGCTTTCACCAAGAACCCTCCATCACACAACCCTCCATCACATTTTCTTCATCTGTCAAAAAGCAGTCTTTGCCAGGCACTGGTGGCTCACACCTATAATCTGAGATACTCAGGAGATTGAGATCTTAGGATCATGGTTTGAAGCCAGCCAGGACAGGAAAGTTTGTGAGACTCTTATCTCCAATAAAGTCCCAAGAAAGCTGGAAGTGAAGCTGTGGCTCAAGTGGCAGAGTGCTAGCCTTGAGCAGAAAAGCACAGAGATAGCACCTAGTCCTTCAATTCAACCGGAGGACTGGCACAAAAACAAAAACAAACAAACAAAACCAGTCCTTATCTTTTCTGTCTGCCTCACTGGGGGTGCTGTTTTGTGAGACCAGGCTAAGCAGTCAGGTTAGAAAACACTTTAAAAATCTAATTGCTGCCGGGTGCCGGTGGTTCATACCTATAATCCTAGCTTCTCAGGAGGCTGAGATCTGAGGATTGCAGTTCAAAGCCAGCCTGGGCAGGAACATCTGTGAGACTCTTATCTTCAATTAACCACCAGAAAACCAGAAGTGGCACTGTGGCTCAGGTGGTAGAGCATTAGCCTTGAGCTGAAGAGTGCAGGGACAGTGCCAAGCCCAGAGTTCAAGCCCCATGACCAACAAAAAAAAAAAAAAGAAAGAAAATAATCTAATTGCTGTAGGGAATAATTGTTTTATCTATATTTTTATGAAAGAAAATTTATAGGGCTTTATTTTCATAAGAGGCATATCCTTGGCATGAGAAAATTTGTTTAAGTTTTATAGTGTGCCTTAATAAGGCAACCATTTAGGTTGATTTTACGAAGTTTTCAGTGGAGAAGGTTAATGGTTATCAGGATTTACTCACGATTACTATCAAAACAATAAAACAAAGCAAGGAACAAGACTTTCTTAACATCCTCAAACACTGTAATTTCTAGTGAAGCATTTATTCCTAACGTTACTTTAATCTAGATTTGACTATAGATCTGATGAATCTATGCTAGACTCATCTGTTTGTAAAACAACCACTCTGGAACTCCTTACTAATTAGAAATCACAAAAATAAGGTATTTGTTGTTATAAAGCAAGATAGTAGTAGAGCTGAAATCACATCTCTTCCTCCTCTTCCTCCTCCTCTTCCTCTTCTTCCTCTTCCTCTTCTTCCTCTTCTTCTTCTTCTTCCTCTTCTCCCCTCCTCCTCCTCTTCGTCTTCTTCCTCCTCCTCCCCCTCTTCGTCATCTTCGTCTTCTTCTTCGTCGTCGTCCTGGGGCTTGAACTCTGGGCCTGGGCACTGTCCCTGTGCTTCCTTTGCTCAAGGTGAGCACTTTATCACTTGAGCCACACAGCACCACTTCTGGCTTTTTTTTTTTTTTAAGTAATCTATTGGAGATAAGAGTCTCACGGAGTTTCCTGCCTGGGCTGGCTTCGAACCGTGATCCTCAGATTTCAGCCACCTGAGTAGCTAGGATTACAGGTGTGAGCCACTGGTACCCAGCTGACCTCCCATTTTCTTTTCTTTTCTCAAATAAACTTTTTTTTGTCTCTTTTAATTTTATTTATTTTTTGTTAATGTGGTACTGAAGAATCGAACCCAGGGCTTCATGTATGCTAAGCAAGAACTCTATACTAGGCCACATTCTCAGACCCCATTTTCTTAACCAGAGTTTTCCACCCTGTATCTTGGATAATGATGATGATAATGGTAATAATCATCTTCAAAGCAACTAACACTTCCTGGATGCTCACATGCTAAGCACTGGGCTAAGAATTTCTCACACATTTACACTCACAACTTTATAGGTACTGTTATGATTCTCATTTTACAATGGGATAAACTTAGGCAGTGAGAAGTTAAGTAACTTTCACAAGAACACGTAGCTAGTAAATGGCCAAGTGGTATTCAACCCCAAATGGATGACTTGATATTATAACCTACTATTCCTTAGGACTGAGGGAACTGCTACCAAGGGCAAACTAAATTCTCAGAAAGAAAGGACTTGTCCTGCCAATCACAAACTACTACCTCATACAGACAGGGAAGGAAAAGGTTAGTTATCTAACTCTATTAGCTGGGTTTAACCTAAAGTTCCCAGCTTATAGGGCCCGCACTGCCCACTTACCTCCATTGCTCCTCTGGGGAAAGGTCTGACATATCAACCTGTAAAAAGACACCACCAAAAAGATCTGTTACTGACAAAGAACTGTCCCTGACCAACTTAAGTGTTCATGCATTCATCAATACATATAGGAATCAAGGGAAGCTTCATATCTTACAAGCCTCTGAAGCCTTTCCCAACACTATTTCACACTGATTTCTTCCATCTCTATCTACTTAGTTTGGCTCATGCCTATGGTTGAACATGTGCTGTGCTGCTAGGAATGAGGGCAAAGGGTAGAAAAGTCCTAACTCCCAAGATGTTCATAGTCTAGTAGGATATAAACAGAAAATTTGGGGCTGGGAAGGTGGCTCAGTGGTAGAGCACTTGTCTTGCATGCCTGAGGCCCTGGGTTCGATTCCTCAGCACCACATAAGCAAAAAGAAAAAAGCCGGAAGTGGCGCTGTGGCTCAAGTGGTAGAGCGCTAGCCTTGAGCTGAAGAGCTGAGGGACAGCGCCCAGGCCCAGAGTTCAGGCCCTACGACCGGACCCAAAAAAAAAAAAATTTTTATTATATGGTAAAGATTAGCTATGGAAGCATGAACAAGTGGCTTTTAATCCAGCTAAGGTGGTATAGATTAGGAAGGCTGCATGAAGGAGGCAGGAAATATTCAGATAAAGAACAGGCAGGAATATGTTCCAGGCAAAGGGACTAACATGAACATGAAGAAATAAAGTCATGAAATACAAAGACAATTTACTATATAACCAGGGGGAAAAAAGGATAAGTCATAATTATTGGAAGTGAAGTTAGATAAAATATTCTGACATATAATGCCATATAACTCTAAATAGCTCCATGGTAGCAGGCAGAACATTAGACCAGGGAAAATGACCATTATAGCTCTATTCTGCCATTAACTAGTAACATGGCCTTCCAAACTTGAGAAGTTCTTGTTCTGTCTGGGGTCTTGCCTTTTTAGAGCAGGGTTTCTCAAACTTGGCACTAAATGATATTTAGGGATGATTATTCATTCTTGGAGGAGCATCCTGTAACATTGTTGGAGCATCCTCCCAATTTCAATTGATGTCCTCTGGGGAGCAAAAATGTCTGTTTAGAACCACTGATAGAGTAGAGCGCTGGCCTTGAGCTGAAGAGCTGAGGGACAGCGCCCAGGCCCAGAGTTCAAGCCCCACAACTGACCAAAAAAAAAAAAAAAAAGATTAAAACCACTTATAGAGCAGTGAGTTCAGAGTTCAAATCTTCAACTTTTTATAGTCATCTACAAAAATCTGCCCAAATTTCAGTGTATAAGTCACTCAGTACATTTGTACACTGAATTAAACTGAAAATTTGACATCGAAAAGAAAGGAGGCCTTAGAAACATTCCAAGGAATCAATCAGCAAGTATCATTTAGTACTTACAAGTTCAAGGCCCAATTTTCCACCTTTCCAACTTCAGAAAAGTATCTTAAATTAGAATATTTGAGATAAAACAGAATTTCATTCTACTACTAAATCAAGTCAGTACATATTTACCAGACATAATGTATGGATGTGCCCATTGTTATTTAAGGAAAACTTTTTGGCTTCTACAAATCCCAGTTAAATTAAAAAACAAACAACAACAACAACAAAAACCAACAACAAGGCTTTGCCAAACTAATCTAGATGATGAAATCAACTGCTCTCCTTTCATTTTCCCACTCCTTACATTTCTTCACAGAGTTTATTCAGTTGCCCTGACTTCATTTCCCTAGGAGGTCAGAACTGCAAGAGACAAGTTGATTTAAAAAATGGAAAGGCTGGGCTGGGAATGTGGCTCAGTGGTAGAGTGCTTGCCTAGCATGCATGATGCCCTGGGTTTGATTCCTCAGTACTACATAAACAGAAAAGGCTAGACGTGGCACTATGGTTCAAGTGGTAGAGTGCTAGCCTTGAACAAAAGAAACTCAGGGACAGTGCCTAGACTCTGAGTTCAAGCCCTTGAGACTGGCTAAATAAATAAATAAATGGAAAGGCACCAAGCACTGGTGGCTCATGCCTATAATCCTAGCTACTCAGGAGGCTGAGATCTGAGTATAATGGTTTGAAGCCAGTCCAGGCAGGAAAGCCCATGAGACTCTTATCTCCAATTAACCACAAAAAGCTGGAAGTAGAGCTATGGCTCAAATGGTGGAGCACTAGTAAAGCTCAGGACTGGTACACACACACAGGCACATGCACACAGGCACACACACACACACACACACACACACACACAAAGTGGAAAGGCACAGGAAGTACCTAAGCATACACTTTTTTCTTTTTTGGTGCTGGAACTGGGGCTTGAACTTAGGACCTCATGCTTTCACTTGGCTTTTTCACTCAAAGTTAGAACTCTACCACTTGAGCCCCAGCTCTACTTCCAGAGCATATAATTAAAACTTTTATTTCTAAAGGAATAATCAATGCCCAAGTTATATAGTAGTCATTGAAACTTTTCTTCTTTTCCAACTTGGACCTGCATCGTGCCCAATCCGTCAGTTCATTATACCAACCACATGGGACTCATTACTGTCTCTGGGCCTTTATATACTTTTCTGTCTGCTTGCAATGCTTTTCTCCTTCTTTTTCTCCCATCCAAACCCAGGTTAGGCTTTGAGAACCTAGCACCAATTATACCTTCCTTAAAAGCCTTCCCTCCAGGGTCCCCTAGTGAATTCAGTTCTCTGCTTTCTATAGTATAGAACTTTCTCCTTTTTACTCCCTGTGTGGTCCAAGGACCAGCAATATTAATATCATCTGGGTGCTTGTTAGAAATGCATAACCTTAGGCTTGGCACCAGTGACTCACATCTGTAATCCTCACTATTAAGGAGGCTAAGATCTGTGGATTGAGGTTCAAAGCCAACCTGGGCAGGAAAGTCCAAGTCCATCAGACGCTTATTTCCAATTAATCATAGAAAAAGCCAGAAGTAGCACTGTGGCTCAATTGGCAGAATGCTAGCCTTGAGCAATAGTGCTAGCCTTGGACAGCGCCAAGGCCCTGAGTTCAAGTCCCAGAACTGGAAAAAAAAATTAGGAGCCTTCTATTAATAAAACCTCTAATTAAGCCAGGTGCCGGTGGCTCACACCTGTAATCAGGCATTGATTTCATCACCCAGATTTGTTTGGCAAAGCCTTGGGATTTTGTTTTTTTTTGTGGGCTGAGATCTAGGGATTGGGGTTCAAAGCCATCCCGGGAAGGAAAATCTGTGACTCTTATCTCCAATTAACCACCAAAAAACTGGAAGTGGTGCTGTGGCTCAAGTGGTAGAGCACTAGCCTTGTGCTGAAGAGCTCAGGGACAGTGCTCAGTCTCAGAATTCAAGCCCCACAACAGATAAAAAAAAAAAAAAAAGATTGAGTCCTAACACCTTGAATGCATGGCCCTAGTTCTGGCCTTGAGTATATGTATTTTGCACATATTCCACAAACCTGGAAGTTGTCTTAGAGCCAAGACACACTTTACACTACTTTTATGTCTTCCAAGGAGAATAGCACAGAGCTGAGCATATACCAAGCATTCAATGAAGACTTAGGGCATTGAGCAGACTTCTCCCTAAAAACTTCACTGTATTAACAAACCAGCATCTCCAGGTGAGATGCTTAAATTGGAAAGTAAAAAAAAAATCCAAAAAAATCATGTTTAAATATTATGTGATAAAACAAAACAAGTACAAATTCAGGAAGCAAGACAAGTCCATTGAATGAAAATTGGGAAGATAGAGAGAACGTGGCAGGGCATGGAAGTGCCTCTCTGTGGAAGTGTGGATCAAGCATATTACTGTCTACACCTTACTTTTCTCCATCTGAAAAACAGAATAAAACTTCTGACTTCAGTACAGGGATGTAAGGAAAGTACTTTAGAGGTGGTCAAGTGATTTCACTGACTTTCTTTCTGGGATAGTGAGCACTCTATATACTAGGAGACGCTGGGGAACTGAATGTTAGAGTAATGCTTTCAGACCTTCAGGAAAACAGTTCAGAGAGTAGATTTGGGGCTAAGAGGATCATTAGCATTTCACAGAGTGCTAAGAGTAACATATAATTTGGCTTTAATATTTGCCTCCAGAACTAAAAGGTTACTTAAATTACATCCAAACTAGTCTTCTAGCTTAAGTAGAAAAACAAGGAAAGCTGTAAACTATAGCTATAATTAACCGGTACCAGCTGGAAAGACATCTTTATTTGTGCTTTCATTAAAGAGTTTATTCATTTGGGGCAAAGCACTAACCTAATCTGAAGGTACCTTCTCTATAGCCCAGGTAGCTAATTAGGTAGGCTCTCAGGGAAAGGGGTACTGATTAATCAACTCCTAAACCTATATATAGAATGTTTTATTGCTAGCCAATGAACATGTTGCTCCACATATGCCCACATTTGAAAGATACTGCAACAAAAATGCTAGTTAAAGGGCAAGAAGAAATTTCACAAAGATGGAAAATAATCAAAATTGAATGTTTCACTTTCACAAGTGCAAAAGATTTCAGGGGCCTACCACTGTATAGCTAGCTACAAAGAGGCCCACTGTCCCTCATAAATATCAAATACTCTTCTCTAGTTGCTGAGCTTTTACACTGATTGGGTTACCTTGTTCCTTAAGCCCCCTTCTTCCACCAAACCATGTTCTGCTACCCAGCAAAACTCAAGCCGAATTCTCCTGCCTTCCAGAAAGCTCATTAAACTGATGACACTCACTGAAGAAACAAACGTCCTCTATTTTCTTGTTAAGTATGGTCCACAGGCCAAGAGCAACAGTATCCTGAAATCTTATTGTAAAACAGATTTCAGACTGTATCCAAGAACTCCTGAGTCAGAATCTGCATTTTCTAAATAAGATACTGATATCTCATAAATACATTAAAAGTTTGAGAAGCATTACTACTATATGCCAGTACTTATGTTCACAAATCACATCTACAGCCATATACATCTCTATACCTGATTTTTTTCTTTCTTTTTTTTTTTTATTTAGTTTTACTGATATAAAATCCACATACCACCAGACTCTGGGGGCTCATGCCTATAATCCTAGCTA